TATGGACGAGACGAGAATGTACGCTCGTTTGCGTACGTTATGTACTTTACTTGTGAATTGTTATTTCTTGTGTGAATGTCTGTCACACGGGTTATAAGGTGTTTCACTTGTGTCATTTGTGGACTATACGTCGTGGTCGTACTCGAGGCTTATCTTTTGAGGGCCTCCTGTGATCGACAGTGAGACTTCGGTATTTATAGCCGGCAGCGAGCTTGGAAAAGTCGCTTTACGGCTCATGATTGGAACATTGTAAAGTTCTCTGAGCTAGACAACAAGCCCTGTGCGGACCTCCCTTTTCTTAAGCCGCATAAGTAACTTCCTTCCACCAGCCGAACTCCTGTGTGGGCCACTCAACGCCCATATCCTTCACGCCGGGCATACTCAGTCGGTAAGGTAAATCTTTATCACTGTTGATTTGTTGCCTGGAGGGAATCTTGGCCCCTTTCGCGGGTTGCTATTTGCTGCGTATTACGACTTGCCCGCTCGTGTGCCGTCTAGTCAGCATTCCAGCTACCTGCAGGACTTCGCCTAGACCACCCTGCATTCCATAGCCGTAAAGCCTAAATCAGGCTAGAAGACCAAGTAAGTTCGGTTTTGGTTCACCTTAGGTGTTCTGTCGCCTAGGGGATATTCGGGTTGCTTTTCCCAGCACCCTTTTTGGTAGGTTAGGTAGGCTAGGTCACGCCAGCCACACCTGTTAGCAGTGTTACGCACAGCTGCCCTACTATTCAGCAATTTCGGGCCATTCTCTACTGGGTCGATTTGCTTTCGTATTCGGTCACTTTTACAATCGATACTGTGTTACGCACAGCCGTCTGTCGAACACTCGATCCCGAATACTTTATACGATCTACTCCCATGGGTCGATCACTCGGTCGCTATCAGGGCGAAGAAGTCCGTACCCCTGCCCACGTTCCAGGCGTTGGGCACAGTGAAGCGCTGGTGGCAGCGTCGTTAAGAGGGTTCCATGGGGCTGTGCAGGGGGTTGCAGTGAGATCCAGGGGGGACACTTTTCATAATACTTTTATAGCTTCTGGTCTGTAACATCCAGCGATGGCAGACAATGAGTCGTCAGGAGGTAACCAAGGGCCTCCTAATCCACCGCCCTCCAAGATGCGCGAGAAAATAACGAAAATAACGATTTGGCGATAAGAAAGGTCGTCAAATTCACACCGCTGACCAACGGACAATAACAGCGGCAGCTAGCAGCTGTTCTGGTAAAGAGAGCTCGTATCAACCAGCAGCTGAGTCCGAGATCGCCCGGAAGATAATTCGACAAGACTAAACCCCACCGATCAAATAGCAGTTCAAAATAACAACCAACTAACTGCACCGTACGACGCCGCTCTGACGCCCCTCTTTAAACCAAATTTTCGGCTACGCCTAAAATAAGATTTTGAATCCGGGCTGAGCAGCTAGCCAGACCAAGAACCGGGACGAGAAACCCAAAACGCGTTCGTTACAGTAGGTTACTTTGGCCCCATGCCTAACCCAGCGAAACATCCCCCCTCACCCAGTCGCGTCACATTCGCTCCACCACCCAGGAGGATCACCTAGGCTCTGATACCAATTGAAAGGGAACCAGGCCGCTCCTAACAACTGGGAAGTGCAAGCTGACTTTACTGGCCGATATACTTGCGTAAGCACAGAAGATCGGGCTTTCAATTTCAACTTAGACTTACAATGTTCATGAAATGGTCCGCTTAAATAGTCATATTAGCGCGCCATAACCTCACACAGCCATACGACATGGTCTCAGAAGCGCGCGCTAACGAACTGCAAAACCTTACAGATTGGGTATTCCATGGATACTAAGTCAATAGGAGATGCTCGGAAAGCAGTTTCCAATAATTGTTGGCTTCAAATTTGATGTGAAAAGAGTTTTCCGTACTACGAGGGCTTTTCCTTAGAAAGGGCATTTCCCTGGAAACGACGCTGTTTCCTGGGAAACAGATAGGTGTTTCCGAGCTATGCACTCCGAAATAGTAGCGAATAGTAGCGAAGGCACATAAAGAAACTGCGGAAAACGCCGCCACCAAAGAACATGTGCCCTTGCTCCACATGCAGCATGATCAAGATGAAGGTCACGTATAAGAGTATTCCTATACTAATCGTATACATGATGATGTGAATGCCGTGGGTGAGGAGGATGCACCATCGGGTGAGGGTTCGGACACCGATGAGGATGATGGGCCTGCCAGGCCCATCATCCTCAGTGAGGACGCGAACTCCCGCCAGCTAGTGGCAGAGGTATACTGTTCGTCCACAAAACCGTTACATCACGTAAGAATCTGCTTCATCAGGCGGGGTTCACGTTCAGGAATGCAGTCGCCGCAGCGGACATCAGTACCTGCCCTACGTGCCGGGCTGAGAGCTCCGGCAAATTGTTGGCTTAGATGCGACGGAGCGAAGCGACCGGAGCCTCTAAGGCTGGTTCTGTGGTACTGTCGTACAACTGGGTCGCAGTGGCGACTTAAACCTTGCTGCTCTCCTGGTGAAGTCATTCTGCCTTCACACAGAAGAGCATACAGCCTTGTCCAAATAGTCAGCGTGACAGGCTGTACTTGAAGCCTTACCATTTCAAGTTCCGACCTACAACTGTTCAAGTTTTCTACGTTTTCCGATTTCAATTCCTTCCAATGTCAACTATTAACGACAATGCGCCATCGACCGAGAATGTCGCCACTGTTCCAGGTGGGGCTGGTGGGAGTTTAGGCGCCATTGGATCCTCCCCGCCGGCCGGCACCGCCAAAACCGGCGCCGCGGTTTTAGAAACGGTGGTGATGAATGCCATAGAAAAGGTATCCGAGAAGCGCCGCCGGGACGATCAGGCTGCTCTAGAGCAGGCTGATGACATCAGTGCGGACTTCATGGCCAATGAGCAGAAGGCGCCAAGGGATTGGCCATCGTCTGCAAGCCTTCACAGGCTTCCACCTTGGCCTACAACTCATCCGCAGCTACCTCGATGCTTGCTGCTACGTGAAGGCCGCCGAGTGGACCGACCTGTCACGACATTTTAGCGTCACGTTCATTTTACCGTCTTTTATAATCGTCTTAGGTTATAATCGGTGTGAATACGCGAATATCGTGTATAAACGCGTAAGGTGTTTGGTTATCATCTTACACTTCGCTGATGGACTTATGGACGAGACGAGAATGTACGCTCGTTTGCGTACGTTTATGTACTTTACTTGTGAATTGTTTATTTCTTGTGTGAATGTTCTGTCACACGGGTTATAAGGTGTTTCACTTGTGTCATTTGTGGACTATACGTCGTGGTCGTACTCGAGGCTTATCTTTTGAGGGCCTCCTGTGATCGACAGTGAGACTTCGGTATTTATAGCCGGCAGCGAGCTTGGAAAAGTCGCTTTACGGCTCATGATTGGAACATTGTAAAGTTCTCTGAGCTAGACAACAAGCCCTGTGCGGACCTCCCTTTTCTTAAGCCGCATAAGTAACTTCCTTCCACCAGCCGAACTCCTGTGTGGGCCACTCAACGCCCATATCCTTCACGCCGGGCATACTCAGTCGGTAAGGTAAATCTTTATCACTGTTGATTTGTTGCCTGGAGGGAATCTTGGCCCCTTTCGCGGGTTGCTATTTGCTGCGTATTACGACTTGCCCGCTCGTGTGCCGTCTAGTCAGCATTCCAGCTACCTGCAGGACTTCGCCTAGACCACCCTGCATTCCATAGCCGTAAAGCCTAAATCAGGCTAGAAGACCAAGTAAGTTCGGTTTTGGTTCACCTTAGGTGTTCTGTCGCCTAGGGGATATTCGGGTG